CCCCCCCCGGATCCGCCACTGTATGGTTGTGAGTGGGGCCTCATGTTTCACCTAGCTTTCGCCAAAGGCCTCGCAAAGTCTACAGCCGCTTCTGCTTATACCACCAACATATTTAAATACATTTCGGCACCCCCACTCATGCCTACTATCAACCGGCAAACATGCACCCATTGATAGAAGATTAGAACGTTCCTTTGTCACCAAACAGGGATACTGCAGAAAACTAAAATCAATTTATTAAACTGTTGTTTATTTAAAAACAAATACCCATATTCATCATGTTTCTAGGAGCACTTAGAAACATTTTTACAGTTGCTTTGAGCAATATCACTACATTTACTTTACATTGCTACATTTACTTTGCATTCCATGTTTAGAAGTGATTTTAACACTTTAGTTTTATTGATCAGTTATCCTTGATATTCAGGCATTGTATTCTCCTGGGTTTAAAGTTTTCTTTATCTAGACATAGGGTACCATTATTATTTGTTAAACATTTAATAAAGAAGATTTCTATCATACAGTACCTCCCAATTGTCCTTTTGGAGGCACCCCCGAGGATCATATCATGTAAACTTTACAGTTATAGTGACAAAGAGTTTGGTAGATACTTTCTGTGTACCAGGGGTCACAGCCAAAAACAGACAGGACAGATGCTAAAGTGGGTAGTAGCAGATTTTGCAAATTGATGGCTAGGTCAGGTACAGACAAACAATGTCCAGACAAGCAAATGGACTAATGGTGGGCAACGCAAACCTAGCTGATCAATGATCAAGATAAGCACAGATAATATGGGTAAAAACACAGTCCATACCAGGGACATGCAGTCAGTGGAGGCAGAGCTTCACCTAGTATTATGCAGGAAAAAGCTTCAAATCTGAAAATGACAGATTTTTCCTTATTCAGAGCGGCATGTAACAGGTTACACAGCAGGCAAAGCCTCCCCGATGTGTAACCTGTCATGGACGAAACGCTGCCTGTTAATTACAGGCAGCGATGCATCCGGTTTTTGACAGGTAGTTAGGTTACACAGCAGTGTGCTTCTCCACTGCTTGTGTAACTAAACTAGTGAGGCACAGCTGTCACAGCCTCTACTCTTTGTTAGAGGCGTGTGGATGGTTTGGACCAATGGCAAAGCACCATTGGCCCAAGCTGTCCAATCAAAAAAAGAAAAAAAACCACTGAGGCAATCAATCTCAATGCCTCAGCAGTGACGAGCCTCCTCCCTGTCTCCTCCCTTCCTCCTTCACACTAGCTTGGGGACCGAGTTGGGGGGTGGGGCTTCAGTGGGCTGGGGGTGGGGCTATGATGTGATATGGGTGGGGCTGGGCATGATTGGGGCGGGGCTGGGGAATGCCTCACCCGGAACCAAGGGTACGGCACGTCACTTGTCCATAGAGTACAAAGGGATAATCCAAGACATCAATAGTCAAATGCAAGTCACAGACAGACAGACATAGCATGGTGCAGGGCCTGATGAACAAACACAAGTCAGGTGCAGGCATGAAGCTTTTGCCCTGCTTTAAAGTGGACTAATGAAGACAGGTATGCACAGAAGAGACCTGATCTGCAGTGTTGTGTAACAGTCAGCAGATAGCAAACGATCAAGGTTAAATGTTTCACATAGTGCACCATTATATGCTTTAGTTACAATATATTACCATTGCTGTATATTGCTCAACAGTCCTGTATTTTCAGAGTTTGATTTTTTAGCTATTGGTATATGTTTATATTTATTTGTTGGTGGTTTCATCGCTAAATATTAGACTTTCACTCAAAATCAGATAATAGGAAAACTACTTTATATAAATTGTCCTATAGGAAACGATAACATGCACTGTTGTCACTAGTAATTTCTTCTACAAATATAACAACCAAAATATTATTAGGGTAACTTTTTTTATTGGGGATCATAGTAAAACATGTACAGGCTTATAAACACATCACATAAGTTCTAGCAGTTATCTTTTTAAAATTGACAGATACAGCAAATGAAATCAGCTCCTTTTATTGCCATATAATAGAGCATATATTGAGATGATTAGAAAATCTGATATTTGAAACATATTAACCCATGACCACAGAGCATATGTTTATAATTAGAGATGCCTCTATGTGTATCCTTGTGGAACACCAGTAAGCCCCTTCACCTTGGTTAAATGAGAACTATTAGCTGATTGAAAATCACTCATCCTCATAATGCCAACCGACGTGTGACAATGAAACTGTCACACATCGGCTCAGTGAGGGAAGTGAGCGGACACATACCGTTGCTCGCTCACTTCGCTCAATCATTTCCCTGCAGGGATTCCCCCCCTCTGACTGGAGGAACAGGGAGGGGAGGGGGAGGGTACAGCTTGCTCTGCCTCTAGGTAGGCAGAGCCAGCTGTCACTCACGCAGTCGGGTGTATCTTTACAGTAATGTCTGGATCCGTCCCGGCTGCGGCGGTCTCAGTATACTGTAGCTCGTGATATACTGAGCTTTGGGTCACGGGAGGACGCTAGTTTATGTCCTCCTGTGACCCTTAGGAGAACTATGGGGAAAACACTTACCCCACAGTTCTCTTTTAAACAAATAGTTCTCTAATCTATTTGGTAAATGTCACTGCCAAATGTTATACAGTAGAGAGTGCAAAGTCTGTCCTCAAAATGTGAAAATCCACAAATAACCAAATATAACCACATTTTTCTTCCTATTCTGTTTTTGCTTTAGCCAATTATGAATGAATCTATATATACATTTCTTCAATATGCACTTTCTATTTACTTCCATTACAGTTGCAGTTTGGTTAATTGACTAAACCTACCTTAAATGTCCCCATTTGCAGGAAATGCTATAAACATCATCATATGTCTTCTGTCATATATGGTTAATCCAGCAATCAGATGGGAAATGCAGAATGTTGTGTCTCTCTGCCTCTCTGTAGATCTACAGGCAGTATAACAAGTATAACACATGAATTATCTTGTATCTATTAATATTAGTATTATTTTTTACCTATTATTTTATTGATACAGCTATAGCCACAAATGTAACATATGCTGTGTAAATTATATGCGTTCATCCAGTATAATGTATCCAGTGCCTGCAAAAGTAATTACCCAGCCTTGGTGTTTTTCCTGTTTTTTTGCATTACAGCCTAGAATTAAAATTTATATTTTTTTGCAGTGTGGACCATGTGACGTACACATCATGTTTACCAGTTTGTGGGTACAAAATTTGTTTTAGAGTCACCATTTGCTGCAATTAAAGTTGCAAGTCTCTTGTGGAATGTCTCTATTAGCTTAGCAGGACATCTAGCCATTGTGATTTTTACCAATTTTTCAAGGCAAAACTGCTTTAGCTCCTTCAAGTTAGATAGCTTGCGCTAGCCTACAGTACAATCTTCAAGTCATGCCACAGATTCTCGATTAGATTGTGGTCTGTGCTGTGACTAAGCCATTCCAAGACATTTAAATGTTCCTTTTCAACAACTTCAGTGTTGGTTAAGTAGTATGTCTAGGTGACTGTGTCCCAGTCTCAAATCTGTCACAGACAGAAGCAGGTTCTCTTCAAGAATTGCCCTGTATTTAGGGCCGGTGCCATTGACTTTAATGCACCACCACGCCCCTCCCACCCCTGAACGCAGGGAGCCAGCCAGCTTGCGTTCCAGAGACCGAACAATCTGGAATGCGGACTGTGGTGTGAACCGGCCCTTAGGGCCATCCATTTTCCTTCAATCCTGACCAGTTTTCCAGTCCCTGCTGATGAAAAGCATGGTGTTCTCAGGTTGATAGTTTGGGTTTGCACTATAAATAGCGTATACCAAAAAGCTCAGTTTTAGTCTCATCTGACCAGAGAACCTTCTTCCATGTGTTTGTGGAGTTCTTTTAGCAATGGCCACTCTTCCATTAAACATCCCACTCTGTGGAGTGCACTGAGTAAAGTGGTTCTATAACCACTGTGGATCTTTGCAATTCCTTCAGTGTTATCTTTTGGGTTTTTGCTGCATCTTTGGGGTTTTGTTTGGGTTTTTCATTCCTAGTCGGTGACTTTTGGCAGACAGTTTTCTCTTGTTAGGTTTTTATGCCATATAACCTTTCATTTTGGTATAATGTATCTAATGATGCTCTATGGGATGTTCAGAGTTTGGGATTTTGTTTTATAACTCAAACCTGATCTGTACTTCTTCACAACTTTGTCATTACTTGTTTATTAATACTCACAAGGCCTTGTGGGGGGAATTTATCATAGCAATTGCGAGTGTTTGAACTCGCATATGGTCGTATGGGATATATTTGCGCCAGCTTTATGTTGCTAGTGTAATGTTGTTCATAAATGAGGTTAATTGACTCCGGCAAAGAAGACTCGTAACTCCAGGCAAAAAGCTTATCTGTCGCTTCTTGAAGAAGTGGTCATGGGGACTTCTTAAGTTGCAAATGTTTTGTTAGGTAATGCTCTAGTTTCAGACAGCCGCAGAACAAGTGCAGATGTAAACAGTTGGAAACTTGCGCAAAACAGGCGAAAAACACGTGCAACTGGAAAAATAGTGCAAGCTCTGGTAAAAACAAGTGCACATGTTAAAAGACAGATTTGCACATAAAAAAATGTATCTAAGAAGCTAAAACTGTCGCAATTGCTTTGATAAATTCCCCCCTGTATGTCTTCTTTTGAAATTATCCCTGGGCAAACCATCCTTATAAATCTGACTCATATAATCCAAAATTCGTGTCAGCATAAATTGTCAAACTGACACCATCAGGGGAATATTTATGGAAACTGGTCTTCTATTCCAATAGGTATTCCCTTGCACAGTTTGTCACTGCAAGTTAATGTACTCTAAATAGTTGCAATATCTCAGGGTTATATAAACACTGGAAGTAAAGGATCTGAAGAATGCTATGGCCTCTCAGCCAAATTTACTGTGCTGTCCCTATGATTATCATTTTGAACCCAGCTTGTATAAAACAGTAGAAATAATATTTTAAATCATGTCAACATGAGAAAGGCAGTCCCTTTTGTATAGATTTAGGCCTAAGAAATAGTCATGTGTTGTCAACTTTTGGGTAGAACAGCTTGGTTGGCAAAATGCTAACACCAGCTGTTAGGGTTCCAATTTGTTAAAGTTCTCTGAGATTCGATCATGCTGCCAGCTTCAAACAAGTACTTGGGAATAAAGAGTCACATAAACTGTGTATTCAATCTATATTCAAAGGCTTACTGTTAAAACAAAAGGTTATATGTGAAACTAAAAGGGGAGGGTGGAGCAAAAACCAATAAAATTCATGCACGTATACAAAACTAATCATGATAGTAGGAATCATGGGATAGCCTTGGGGGGAATTTGCAAAGTAAACAAAAACACAAACAGAGATAAGAGATACAATCTACTAAGGAATGCAGAGCTAACAGTTTAGAAACATCTCAAACTGGTCTATGTAGAATATACTGAAAACACAATTAACTATTTATACCCAGAAACAGGCAAATTAAATGAATCACACTTTCACTAGCATTAGTCTGATTATGTTATGCTAGAACCAATACTCTTTTAGTAATCTCTGAACTAATATTTTCCTCAGGACGACAGATTGGTGGTGAACCTGGAAAACCAGGAGAGAAGGGAACGCAAGGTCCTCCAGGGAGATTTGGAGACAAAGGATTGAAAGGTGATTTGATTTGTTTACTTATGGCTTAAACCATTTAAAGTAGAACTAAAGGTCCAGTTACTATGTACAAACATCTCATAAAGTAAAAAAACTTTCTTTAAAGTCCCTTACTGAGCCACAGTACAAGCAGGCACAGCCCACATAAGAGTGAGTGGCAACTCTGCTTTGAATTCAGGAGCAGTACAGCATTGTTACCACCCAATAACAAAAAGCTGTGTTAGCTGGATTTCACTGACAGACTCAACTGGTATTTGTGGGGTTTTTATATACAGTGTGTGTATATATATATATATATATACGTGTGTGTGTGTTTTATTTTTACCTTGTATAATGATAAGACATGAGATCATTTTGGCATATATTTGTCTCCATAGGTGATGATGGTGACTGTGCTTGTGGTGGCATAGATAATGCACGTGGTAGGATCGGACCACCTGGACCTCCAGGTCCACCCGGAAGTAATGGTTTTCCAGGATTTACGGGACCTAGTGGAGACCCAGGAAGGAGAGGATCAGTGGGTCCATCTGGACCTCCTGTAAGTAGCTTTGCAAAATGTTTTTGAATTGATAATAGTTTATATACACCTACACTCAACTATTTGCTTTGAAAGTGTGTAAATTACCTCATTTGTTTTTTAGGTACTCAGCAGTTGGCAGGCATTTTAATAATATATGTTTATAAATATTCTCATGCTAAACGGTTGTAATTATCTACTGGAGGTACCACAACTCTATGTTGTTTGTTGTGGACAAGGGAGAAGTCAGGGTCAAGAGATTTTTTAGTTTGTTAGCTAGTGAAAATTAGATTAAAGGAGAACTATGGGGTTAGGGCTTTTCCCCATAGTTCTCCTTAGGGTAACGGGAGGACACAAACTAGTGTCCTCCCGTCACCCTAGGCTCAGTATACCGCAAGCTACCCGCCCCCTCCCCCGTCCGTTCCGCCAGTCACCGCTGGAGGATTGGAGAGGGGCGAGGGGAATCCAGCCCTTCCCCTGTCACAGCAGAGAGCCGTGACACGATCGAGAAGTAAGCGAACGCCGGTATGTGTTCGCTCACTTCCCGATCTACTGAGCCGACCTGTGACAGTCTCATTGTCACAGGTTGGCTAGAACTATGAGGATGAGTGAAAAGCACTGACCTCATAGTTCTCCTTTAAGTGAAGTATTATAATGCTTTTACATAGTTTATCTTGCTAGCTATCTAAGGTCAGCATTTGTGCACTGGTTCTTTTGAAAGTCATATTCTGAAAGGACTAATACACCACTGACCTAAAAAGATAAGATATTTCCAATAAAATATCACAAAACATAAGTGAAATCGAAAAAATATAATTAGTAGTTTACCCTTTGTTTTTCTTTTGTGTAGGGGTCTCCAGGCACTGCTGGTGTTCCAGGACTTAAAGGAGAGAAAGGAGAACCAGTTTACCCATCCGGTCGTGGAGTTCGTGGAGATCCTGGAGCTGTAGGACTTAGAGGAGCCCCTGGACTTTCAGGAAAGGCAGGAAGAGATGGGCTCCCGGGGTTGCCAGGTCGTAAAGGATTTCCTGTAAGTTTCTACTGAGTTTCATATTCAGGTCATTAGCACTACTATCATCCTAATATAGCAAGACTTCTGTATTTCACAATTACATTTTGCTACACATTACTACTTAGATTGGTGTACAGGTCAGCTACCACTCTCACTCTAATTTTTCCAACTTTACTCATATCTTGGACAAATTTAGGAGAAAACTATTCATTCTGACTTAAATGTTTTAAATGATGTGCTCTGAACAAATACATCTAAGAATGTCATACTTAGCAAACTTCTTATAGTCAGTGACACACAATAAGCTTCATTACCATACCTATAAAAATAACAAAAAGGATCTAAAACTTCTGTGTTAAAGTCTTTTTTGTCCATGGAAATCACTTTCATGTCTGTGGGGTAATGTAGAGGATAACGGGGAAATGATATCACCTGCAACATCCCAGATAGGTTTCTTCTGTCTTCAATAAACAATATCAGGTTTTCCAGAGAGGAGAACAAAGGTGTCTTAAATTATGTTTAAAAACAAAATGATATTTATATAAGTGAAGTTGTCCAGTTTAGAAAATAGGGGACAATTCAAAGTAAGGAAACAATCCTTGTTAATTGTTTTTGGTTATCTGCTCTGTGATATACATGTGTTAAGAGTAAGGAATTTGTCATAAATAGAGATCTTTGACATGCAAGAAAGACAATTAAATGGTACAGGTAATCTAAAAGCACTAATAGCAGAAAATAGCATGATCTATTGTTCTGCTTATGTCAGATGGGAATAATATGGTCAGTTAGTGAATGTGTAACTTACCTTTGTTTGACTATTTTTCTTTACTTTCATTCCTTTTCAAGTATGTTGGTTTTCTGCTCCTAAAAAAAATGTCATGGCTTTCCTGGCCTATTTGAAGGGCAAATTGGGGAGCAAGTTGTATAATACTTTTCTCAATGTAGAATATTTTGTTACGGCCAGGTCAGTAAAGGTAGGTAGAATATAAATATTCAGACACAACTCTGAGGCTGTATATTTGCAGCAAGTTCACAATGTTTATAATTCACCTACCCTTTTTCCTGCTCAGGCAGTATGAATTTCTATGCATACATTTTGAAATTTGTATGGAACTGCATATATACTGAGAACCTTTATTTCTATATTGTTCTATACTTTACAACCTAGGGAGAAGGTGGAGCTGGTAATCCTGGTGAGAAGGGATTTCCAGGGCCCCTGGGCCAAAAAGGTCGCCGTGGAGAAAGTGGACTTCCTGGTATTGGCTTTCCTGGTTTACCTGGCTCTCGTGGTCTGCCTGGTGATCCTGGGCTCCCAGGACAAGATGGGCGACTAGGTGATCCAGGACCACCTGGTAAGTTTTCATAAATTACACTATTTTGCCTTAATATTAACTGGCTTTTTCTACATCTCTTTCTTCAGGATGTTAATATATGTTGTAATAGATGAATGACAGATATATGTCATAACTTGTCTTTGATGGAAGGGTGATTACTGGCTGTCTATAATGTTTGGCTTCCTTTTCGGAGCTCAGGAGTGAGGATTATGTGCCATGAAGGTTCAATGATGTTATCTTACCCACTGTGTTCCTCTTAGTGCAATTTATTTTTCAAATTGGATTCATTATGGCCAACATATAACTCTAACAAGCACAGGGATAGAGATCAACTATTGAATCTTTACAGCTGGCCTTCACTGATAAATACAAATCCAGGACTAAAGTAGACTGGGGTAATAATTCTTCATTGCTTTTTGTGTTGCATTTCTATAAGATTTGTATTCATATTACAATGTACTTGTACAAACATGTGCAAATAACTATACATTTTTTCCCTGATATAGTCAAGATGTTTTGTGTAAGAATTTTTATTAAATAAGTCCCAGACCATCCCTGGGTAAATGGGTAAATGCCCAGGAAGGTCTTTAAACAGGTATAATGGCTTGTCACTCCCACAAAAACATTAGAGGAAATGAACCAGAGAAAGTAATGGGGTTTGTTTGAGTCGCCCTTAGTTGGAAATATTTCTACATAAACATATAGCTAATATTACAGCATTTTATTAATACATATCATTTAAACCATAGACATTTAAAAGCAGATAGAACGAGACCACAATACCCTTGTGGCTGGCCCACTGGTCCCATATCAATCAGCACCTCCACAGAGGCTAAGAGATAGACAAAGTCCAAACCCATAAAGGGCATATGTAACTATTAGTAAGCCGAGGATCTTACAGTGCTGAAAAATGATATGTCTCTCGATGCGTTTCACCTGTAAAGGCTTCCTCAGGAGAGGGACCTAGTGCCTACAGGATAAAATAGGCTAAAAAGCACAAAATATGTTGAGAGTGATCTAGTGGAAACATATATAGAAGATATACAGAAAAACCTATTTTTTTTATTTGATTAAGTAGAATTACAACATGATTTCAAAGTAAGCAAGTAGAAGAGGCCAATCCCGATCCCAATGTCCACAAAACCTATCCCCCCTCCTCCAAAATGTACTGGTGGGGCCCAAATGAGACCACAGGAGAGTAGATCCCTAAACAATGCCACCAGGGTGCTGCTCTAAAGTAAAGCTACAAATAACACAAAGTTATAATAGTGCATAGAAAAACCAGCAGAACAGCTAAGGAATTGTAACAAAAGTCTAATTGGGGTCAATAGTTTGGTGGGGGGGGGGGGAAAAAATCCACCCAAATTACCTTTTAGGAGATGTATAGCCAGCATCCCTCCCGGATGGCAAGTGGGAGCTGAATGTGCTAATGGCACGTAAATAACCCCTCCCCGCCACCCACACGTGTAGATCCGCTAAAAGCATATTTCCGGTTGTGGACTCGGGAGAGGAAGGTCCACCTTAGGTGTCCCCTGTGGTCCAAAGCCCCTACCCGGAAGTGTGAGAAAGATGAAAAGGGAAAAAAGAACAGGATCAAGGGAACTTCAAGATGTTCCCTGCCCACAGCTATGTGCAAGCAGACCTCACATTCTAATACAGGATTCATTTCCATCAAGATGTTTTGTGAAGTTTATTGGTACTAGTAGATGACTTATACTGTATATGCAGACTATTATTTCCCTAAAAAGAAGACACACAGTGGCCATTGTGTTAAATAAAGTATTCTTACCAAACCGCATCACCTGTTTTTATTATGAATTGCACCAAGGTGCTAATTCTCTGCAATACTTGAGACCTCTTTGAGATTTCTGTATGTATGTGTGTTATACTGTATATAACATAATGTATTTGTGCTCTGTGTATTTTGATTTGTGTTATGCCAGTTTGTAGGTGGTAAAAAGTCTTTTTTGTTTTATCAATTAACTATTTAAGATGATTTCTCTTTTATAACTATATCCTTGGCAATAATCAAACAGCTGGAAAAAGGTCTCCAGAAGACACCCACAAGGCTCACTGATAGGAGATCCATTCCAACATGAACACTCCCTGAGGGCCTGCTGTGATTTCTGCCTTTCTGTTTTCTGTATTTCAGTTTTAATAAGGTTTAATACGGCTTTTTTCCCTTAGCTTTTGCTTGCTTAATATATTATTTTCAGTTCTCTGCTTTTTGCATATTTAACATGTGGAAACAGCCAAATATATTCACTAAGTTGGTGATGTAATAATAATACTTTAGTGACAAAGCCTTGTCGAGTATATAAGATAGGAAAGTTAAATTCACTTGTATTTTGGATAACATACAGTTCTTGAAGTCACACAGCTGTAGCTAGTTTAATTCTATAGGTTAAAAATGCAAAATGTAAAACAGGACCCACAACATATTGTCATCATAAGAGCCTATGGCATACACTAATGCCTCGGGCAATGTAACAAACTTGTGACAATAAAAAGCTTTAGTAGCTAATAACATCCAAACTGTGATGTTTTTTTTAATGCTTTCAGTGGTAAATCCTGTAGACCAAAGGAAAGTAAATTAGAAAAGTCAATTGGTAGAGTTTATACACTTTAACACTGGTCTAATGCCAACACAAAAGTAAAGACACCACGGAGTACACGTTTTGCTTGTACTTCATTTTCCTTCTATTATATGTCATTGCTTTGTTACACTGTGTGTACCCTGTAGTTATAAGAATGACTCTTCCATTCAGCATATAATGTAGGGTAATGTGTTGATGTTTTAGGTCTAGATGAGTTCCAATGAATGGAGACATTACTATTTAGCTTTGGCGGATACCTACAGTATATAAGATAGCATCTTTTTACAGAGCAGTACAGTTAAATATGTTTTCCTAGCCGTTCATAATTTTTTATGTAGTAGCTTACACAAAGTTGGGAATGTTCATTAAAACTGAGATGTACTCAACAAGATTGCTACAATAACCTTTGTAACAAAAGGAGAAAATCAGCCTAAGCAAAGATCTTTTATTTACAATTGAAAATCAAAACCATCACCATAGTGAAGTGAGAATATATTTGTGCTGCCTAAGGCTTTCTTTCTTGTGGTTTCTCTGATCTGTGTCTAACCTGTCCTCCTTTGCTTAACTGCTATAGGTGACTGCTGCTGCGGGGACAATGTTGGTAATGGAGACTTAGTCACAGAGGGAGGTGAGAGGATAGATCCTAGAGGTCAAAGAGCAACTATGAGATCCAAGTGATCTCTTCTTGCTAGGTAGAAACTCTGAATTTGCATGCATGTTACATCTGGTCATTGAAACCAAGCATGACAGTCATTTTAGGAATGTGTCTGTTTATTGATTAGTTACTATATCATTATAATAAATGCAGGCAAATATGCAAAAACATACTAATTAAAGAAGAACAACAGGCAAAAGACAACATTCAACAAAAGAAACCTTATAATCCCAAAGTCTTATCTGCACACAACCTTTCTGCATGCAGCATGGGTGACTTTAGTCACTGCCGACAGTCAGTAATAAAACAAATGGATGCTGTGACTTGAAATCAATATGTGTGTTGGAAATTCACATCTTACAGATAAAATACCCAGTGGACCTTTCAGTAGCCAACTATTCGATTATATACTGATTTCTTCTGCCCTTACTGTTGTTCTCCTTTAATCATCATCTGAAGAATCTGTTTCTAAAAGCTGACATGGCTTGAGCATTTTTTTCCAATAAAAAGATGCTTGTAGCATTGAAATCACAATTGCATCTCATTATTACTACAAAGGATAACATTTAGCATTATAACTACAAGCCTGCTTCTAACTTATTTCTTGGGTCATTTATCACTATATTATGTGTCTTGTCATAATTTTTTCATGAATAATTGGTTACACTCATAGTATCATGCATTTAAGGCATTTGTGAAAGTGAGCGCATGGGTAACTATGCAGAAAACGATTTGCATCTCATTACAGTTTTTTAGAATGTAATTGTCATTTGGAAGATTAAAACAATGAACTGGTTAATTATAGGAGGCCTTTTTTGCACAGTTGCCTTTGCCCTAGCTTTAATAAAAGTCACTGTTTTTTGTAATTGCATTTTTAGTAAAGACTTTCTAGTGTGAATTGAAATGGAAAGCTGCCTGACTAAGCTGGTGCATGGTCTCTGCTGTTTAATGGTGCAGACTCTATCAGACCTGAAGTTAAGATCCACAGACCTATAGTACAGCGCGGGCTATTCACATACCACAATACCAATGTTGTAATTTTTGCTTTGTGAAAACATGAACCCTGTATTGTCCCAGATTGTCATGCATTAATAGTCAGACACTGGGGTCAGTGAGTCTAGTTTCAGGTCTAATGCAATTGAGGTGAATTCTGCTGATAATTGAGCACACTGGCAGAAGTAAAATCCGAGGCTCAATACTGGAAAAACTCAAGACTTATAGGAAACAAGTCTACTGTTTTAATGGAAACAGAAACAGACAATCAGAATAATTTGCTTTCTGTGTTTATTGTATATCTAAAGCAACTCTATCGTTATATGAATAAAAAAACAGAGCACAAACTCAACCTGCAAAGAAAAGGTTAGGTGTCCCATCTCTTTTAACGCTTAACTCTATTGACTTTAAGAGAAAGAACCTGCACCTGTGTCTCCCGCTGAGCTCCGTGGTTTCACCACAGACCCCTACCTACTTAGGGCCCAGAAGATACAGCCGCAGAGTCAGCAAAATTCGGCATTGAGAAAAGAGGGATGGACAGATTCTTGTTTTTCTTTGCAGGCCGTACTTGAGTTCAGTTAATTTTACACGGCTGCAAAATCTCTTCAAACTTATTGAAAGTGAACCTTTTCTTTCCCATGTTTAATTGCCCATACCTCTGCTCCTCAGCCTATACTTTACCTCGATTTGTTCATCTGTTGTCCTGTTTGCACATTGGAGCAAAGAGAGAAAGCACAATGTAAGTTTCGAGTCATAGGGGTTGCTGATTTAAGAAAGACAAATAGTTGTTTACTTTGCAAGGGAATTTGCAAATTGCAAAGGAAATTTCCGCATAGTGAATGAGGTGAAGCTCTGCTGACTTCCATCTTCCAATCACATGCAAGCACTCAACTGAGTATTCTTTGCAAAGTAAACTTTCACCACATTCAGTAAACTAAGGGAGAATTCCCTTTGCAAAGTGATCAGCCTATTTACCTGTAGTAAATCAACCCCAGTATCCTCAGAATTTACACAGGGCCCATACAGGACAAAGCAGGATGTTAACTAAAATATTGGCACATGCAGATCCTATATTTGCCTTACCTTCACCCCCCAGTTGTCCCATTCCTCCATGGAAGTGAAGGGAAGAAGCTCTGTGTAGGTACCAAATCTCTCTCTTTGAGCTTACACAGGGCTAAGAACTATACCTGCACTTGGGCCAGGTGATTGGCCAATTTTTGCACTCAGAACTGCATTGTGAGAGTAAGTGAAGAGAGTCATATATTACTCATGGCCAGAAGTGTGGGGTATATTACTTTGCTCCAGCAGGCAAGGGAACAAAGGGAAGGTGAGTAGCCTGTAGGCAGTTAAGCATGGGCAAAGCACAGGTTCACTTTAAAAAGGTTCATTTGGAATTGGTGGGAGGTATGTATTATTTTTTTGGGCTTGTGTTATGGCTGTTAATGACATAGAAACCCAATAAGCAGGAGTGGTTTCTTCTCTGGAATACTATAGAGACCATGCCGTGGCTAGTTTAGATGCAGACAAAGTTTAATGGAGTCATGCTATTTTAAGGTGCACTTATACTTGGCTGTTATGAATAGTGTGAATAATCTGGAAGTTACAGCCAACGTGGACCTCTGGGAAATAAAAGGAATTTTCATCAGTTCATGGGTCATTGGCTGTCTTTCAGATCTTTTTTTGTTTATTTTCAGAAAGCGTGTGGTTCACTTATTGCCCAGGATTTAGCCTGAAATGTTTGAGCCTGAATCTTATGATATGTAATCTTATGATAATATTCCTTCCTTATTTCCTGATAGACTTTTGCTAACACACCTTTCATGCATATGTTATCTTTTATTATAAAAGAGAAAATAGGCGAGTCAGGTGTTTTAGAGCTGTACAGCAAGGATAGAGAAAGTCTCTTCACAGGAGTTTTCAACCCAAAAAACTTGTCCTTAGAATTAACACTTAACCTGATTTAATATGGGTCATGTCTGCCTAAACACCATTCCCTTCTCTATCCAAATTGAAAAAAAAGTTTGGGCTTTAGATTTACTTTAAGTTGATCTGTAAATCTGGTACCTCATTGTAGTTCAGTTCCCCATAAAGAAAATGACCCTAGGTTTTGATTTTTGATTTGAATTTAATGGGTCCACATGTTTTTAAAATCTCAGAATAATGTTGTAAATTCACATGGCAAAAGTAACATAAACAGAGATATATTTGAATGAACACATTTTATAGCCCAGGTAAAACTGCACCTTATAATTCTGTAACACTACTGAAATGAAAGCATGGCTTTGTTCATATTTTGTATAGTTACTAATTTTGTATTCAGGTATGTGCCTGTACTTGCCACCAGCACTTGTGCTCATTGGGTAGGAGGGGTGGTCAGCGTGATACCATTTCACCATCTTTGTCCATATTCACCAGCATTTCTGTGATGCATACTGCTAAACAAACATTACAGCATCATTGCAGCTTTTGCATCCAGCATCCAATGCACGTGTTGTTTTTTTATGTGTTGTATTCAGAATTTAACAGATTTGTTCTACAGGGTCTCTTACTAGGAAATAACAATCTTATATTTTGCTAGGGCAAACTTTACCATGCATAATTGCTGGGGAACCAGGTGACCCAGGAATGCCCGGTGACCCTGGACCTGTAGGTATGTTGAAATGTTTCTCAGAATTTTTTTTTTAATCTAAGCCATGAGTGATCAGATTAATATGTAAGCCGGTTGGGCAGGATTACCCTGATATGTTCTTATTTCTGATTAATTTATTTGACATTTTTTATTTAATTTAAACAATAATCCCTCCTAACAATATTTTATTTTGGTGAGATTTTGTAAATTAAAACACTACTTGTAGGTTTACGCACCTCAGTGATTCCAAATTAGGGAATTGATGGTATTTATCTCTCATGATGTGCATGGACATGGACATACTTTCAAATGTACCAGTACTGCACATATGACTTACACAATCAGTTAAAGATTACTAAATCATATTTCTTTTAAAGAGGAAAATTGTGAATATAAATGAATACTTGGATTATTTGTCACAGGACCTAGAGGTGAAAAAGGATTCCCTGGAATCCCAGGGCTCCGTGGCTTTGATGGCGGTAGCGGACAACCGGGCAGTCCAGGTCTTGGTGGATTTCCAGGACCACAAGGTATAAATCAGCCATACTTCATAGCAAAAAGTTATACACAGCACATGTATAAACTTTATAACATTTCTTAAATTTCGAATGCCTTGTGACTTACAGGCTTTACAGGTCCCCGTGGAGATGAAGGCCCTTCTGGATTTCCTGGCCTGGATGGCATTGATGGACCTCCAGGCAAGTTCGGACTTCCTGGTTTGCCTGGTTTCAAAGGAGCACGTGGTGAAGTATTAGGGGCGGAGCCTGGTGCTGCTGGTGAACCTGGAAGACCTGGATTCATAGGAGATAAAGGAGTTCGTGGAGACTCTGGATTCGATGGGCAAAAAGGTAATATTTATCTTTATGCTCGCACATTCAAAATTATTTCATTGCATTGAATAGACTGTGAAACAATAAGGAATACTAAGGGTGTAACATTTTTTCCCATTATTCTGTCCATCTGACAGCCTTGACCAATAGTTATACAAAGGTGAAGATGTTAGTTGACTGTGCAATGACAAATCCTCAATTGTGTTACAGGCTTAGATGGACGACCTGGATTGATGGGAGCTAAAGGTGAAAGGGGTAATTCAGGATTTCCAGGTGGACCAGGTCCCAGAGGTCTGCCAGGATTTGGAGGAGAAGCTGGCATTAAGGGGAAACAAGGACCAATGGGAGATATTGGACTCCCAGGGTCATCAGGTATGTCTACCAAAATTCATAACACAAACTTTAAAAAAAAAACATTCAGTTTGGTAAATGAATTCTTGAAGTCTGAAACCCAGTAATAGTCGATCATTTTAATCATCTATTTTTGAACTTTACTGAAAAATGAATGTTGATATTCATTACATGTAAATATTCAGACTGTACTGTGCATCGGGTATGTTTTCATAATTCGGTAAGTATGTAAGAAAGTCAATCACCTGAAATCCTTAAATCTTTTCATAGCCTACATTTTTAAGACATTAAGTCTAGCCTACTTCTGGTAATTTAGGTTCACTGGTGATAGGTTTTTTCTATATGAAAAGGTTTTATCTATACACTGCATGGCAGATGAGTGAACTGTATTTTTTCTAAGAATGTATCAGAAACAGAGTCACATATTTTTCTGAGAAACCTACAGGTAGACTTTGGCTCTAAATTGTTGTTCCATTTGTCAGGTTTTGATCTCTTCTATGATCTCTTTGGTGATTTCTGGATGCATTATTGACAGGAAAGGGGGAAAGCTTAAGTTTTTCTGTGTAGTCCATGCATGGGTGTTAGGCTTGGTAGGAATGACGCAAAGGTCTACTTAAGGTGTATCTGTCGTGAGAGAAGTAGAGGGAATGCCTTGGTTGACTGTAATTAGCTTTTATATCTTTTAGTATGTGGCCCATAAAGATAAGGAAACATCAGAAGCCCTATCTACATGCTTGATATGGGACAGTGACTGAAAGCCTGGCATGTTGCATTTTCAGAAAATACATCTTCTATGTTTCTGTAATGACAGGTTTATTTCTGACAACCATTTTGCTCTTATACCAGATAAAGCACACATGTAGCAATTTATACTGGTTGGCTCTGCCTGGTTTTGCTTGGACAGGAGTAAAGGCATACATTAGTAAATTCCAGAGGGTACCATTTAAATTCTCTAACCCTGCACTCCATGCATCTAAATCTCTGCTAATTTGTATTGATTTTCTGATTACTAACCTAAATATCAATCAGTGGTGTAAAGCAAATCATATACAGCACGCTGCTCTTGATCATTCTTGCACAGTCTTGTCTTCACTCTTTCCAATCTCCTTCCATCCATGGGATGCGCTTATAGAGAAATGATTCACTTGTTTTCATTGTATCTCTCGGTCAGCAGTTTCCATTTGGCTGTGTGCTATCTTTCATACATTTTGTCTGTTTTTCCTTCATCATGCTTTTATTCCAAATACCACCAATCCTCCATATTTTGATGTCATACTCTATGGTCTCGGCTTCTTCACATAGGCTGCCAAGGTGAGAAAGTGCTCTGTAGCATAAAAGCAGATGGACTAACTAGCTTTTGATGCTGCAGGCATTTAAATGACCATAGGTGACACCCCTTATTTCTTACACTGCTATAAGAACCATTGAATGAACTTAGGTGTTGTGACAATCGAGATGTGACATGTAACATGTGACATGTAACATGTGACATGTAAGAATGCTTATTGGATTTTTATTGTACCAAATACTTTTTACACTTGAAATAAAGCAGTATTTCCCAATTTGGGACTTTGATCAATTACCATTACCATCTGAAACTTGCTACAGCAAATCACGACATACAAAACCTGTGGAATGTTTGTCGTTAACTCAATTCACTATTTAGTAACTAGAATTGAAAATAGATCAATATGTGAATAGATTAAATAACATTGGTAAGAGAGTTTATTGAAATAGGAAGGGGCCTTAATACTTATCAATTGTTGTCAATAAATGTTGGATGTAATACACTGGTTTATGTTACTCTACAGAGAAACTTGTGTACAGGCCATACTGTGAGTTAAAAACAAACCTGGAATATAAAGCACACCAGCTTTTTTCTATGCATGTGCACAATAATTCAGATATATATTTATGTATTGACAACAGTGCCATCTCAATACTCTTGCCAGGCGCAAATTTAATGAGCTTTCCTGATTTACTAAAGTAGGACTAGGCAGGTGCAAGAAGCTTCTACCAGTCCAGAAATACAATTTGATATTCCATCACTTTTTGCAATACCAGAGTTGCTAATCTAGATGTTTGAGAGTAATGCTAAAAGGAAAATAGAATTTTAACGTTCTGCTAGTTAAAGAAGAGGATTTGGCTGCAAATGTACATATGCTGCCACACTTTTAACATCTCTAAAAATGGGAAATTGGAGGGAAAATAATTCCTGTAAATAGTTATTTGCGTCAAGTCTGTTTGTGTGCAGCAATAGACCCCAGCTATTGGCTCATGAGCCACAAGTGGTTCTTTCATTTTTGCTATTGCAGTCAACAGATACTTGTCTGTACTTTTTGGGCTTACTTAATGGCAAACAAGCTGCAAAACTTTGGGGACTTCTATGCACAGCATGAGTACAACTCTATTTAATTTGCTGTAATTGTTGAATGCTGATCAACTGCTTTACCCCGAATATGAAATACTGCTTCAAGTTTTTCAGGTATTAAGATCACTAATATCATTATTAGTTTGTGTACATCACCCTTTCACAATGGTGCATTAATGTAGATAAAATGTATATAGAGAGGTATTTCTTGTTCTCATTATTACAGGCGTTGGGTATTTATGATCCATTCATCCCCTCGTTTGAATAAACTATAACAATATAGAAAGTGCAACATCATAAGGGGTTTCACTACAGTCAGTTGTAGTGTTATAGGCAGTAACCCATGCAATAGGTAACTTAGACCACTAATGCTTTTGCAGCTAACGTCCCTTCTGCTAGGTGGCTGTATGTAGTAAAATATTAAATAAATTCGCTATGATTTCAGACAACGTTCTGCTTCTTATATTCTTTCTGCTGCTGCTGGTGATTCCAGTTCTGACAGTTAAAGCGTCCTCCAGAAGTGACGAGACTGTTGTATTTCTTGCTAACCATTCAGTTCCAAATTCTTATGCTGAGTATATTTATTACAGGCTTTCCTGGAGCAAAGGGTATACCTGGAAACAGAGGTTCCCCAGGTCCAGCTGGTATGAAAGGTAGTCCAGGTCCTAATGGAGATGCAGGTCGTCCTGGTGATTTAGGACCATCTGGACCCCCAGGACCAAGTGCTCGAGATGGACTGCCAGGCTTTCCAGGAGCTAAAGGTTGGATTTATTCAATGATTATAAATTAGCTGATATA